CATAAGCACATTTTATTGCTACTGATTCATTTCCACTTCTGTTGCAAAAATAAATACCTCATGAGAAATCTGTACGTTGCATATTGTCATTTGATGGCAATTTTTCATCCTTTCAGTTCACACCAGTAAGGGTTTTTTTGGGGTGGGGTAGGGGGAAAGAAAATAAAATCTATATTAATCTCGAGACTGGTAACTCAAGCTTCTTGGCAGATAAGAGACATAGAAATGATTTGCCAGAAATGCAGACAAGCAACACAAATGTTTATGCTGCAGACTGTTTCTATTTCCTTGTATTTTTACATACAATGGGCTATGTTGTACTATATCTCCACAGCAATCACTGAAGAGTTCTTCCAGAAGCCAGTGGCATAATATGGCCTACTAATTTCTTTTTAGAAAGTTTTATTTTGATTTCTCAGTCATTTTTCAAAGTAGTCCTCCTAGTAGGTAAATAAAATGTATTTTTTTGTTTAACTTGTCCATGCATAGGACTTGGCCAGCAAAACATCAGCCTCTGAATAGCTCAGAGATATGCTAAGGGCTAAGATGGTCAAGAAGTGTGGAAACCAGGGAGACAAAGAGAGAAGCATAATTCTCCTGTTCTGCCTCTTCTACTAAGATGGTCTGTGTAAATTAAGCCAGCCACTGTTAACAGCCTCCATAAATTAAGCTGGCCTTTGGCATGTTTAGCTGCTGGTACCAATCTCCTTCTTGATATTTTCATAGTTAGCTCATTCACTTTTGCACCTGACAAAAACACAGTATCACTTACAAATGCAAAAAACACATGTGATCCTACAAATGTATTTCATTTACAATGCACATCTCAATGATGATTTTTCTTTATTTGATACACTGTCCATGCATTATAACCCCTCTTTTAGGCATGGATAATTAAATGTAGTAGTGCATTCTGATTTATGAAATTATCACCCGATGAAGTGGGTTTTAGCCCACGAAAGTAGGCAGGTATCTTTTTAAAAAAAAAAATCTCCCTTTTACTCTCCTCTTCTTTCATCTAAGTAGTTGCAAGAATTCAGTCTGTCAGTAATTCTCATTAAAATGCCGCCTAAAGTAGACTTGCCTACAAAATTCAAATATAAAAGGAATTTATATTAATGATATTACTCACAATGTGTACATGTGTATGATATTACTCATAATCTGATCATGAATGCAAGCAGCTTTGTATTCTAATGTCAATAGCTATAAATCATGTAAATCCATGCTTGTGTGTGTGTTTAAAAACAGATTAATCTACAGACAGTAGTGCCTTTGTGAATTGGCAAGGGTAGGATCTATTCTATTGCATGGAACTGCTCTTGAATTGCACTAGTTGGCCACTGACATGGTAGTTGGTTTCAGAGTAGCAGCCGTGTTAGTCTGTATCAGCAAAAACACCAAGGAGTCCTTGTGGCACCTAGAGACTAACAAATTTATTTGGGCATAAGCTTTCGTGGGCTATAGCACACTTCATCAGATGCATGTAATGAAAAATACAGTAGGCAGTATATATATTACAGAACATGAAAAGATGGGAGTTGTCTTACCAAGTGGAGGATCAGTGCTAACGAGGCCAATTCAATTAAGGTGCAATCTATTCTCAATAGTCCATACAAGAGATCCACTTCCTGGACACTACAGTGCAAATAAGCAATGGCCAGATAAACACCACCCTATACCAGAAACCTACTGACCACTATACTTGCCTACATGCCTCCAGCTTTCATCCAGACCACATCACACGATCCATTGTCTACAGCCAAGCCCTAAGATACAACCGCATTTGCTCCAATCCCTCAGACAGAGACAAACACCTATAGGATCCCTATCAAGCGTTCTTAAAACTACAGTACCCACCTGGTGAAGTGAAGAAACAGATTGACAGAGCCAAAGGGTACCGAGAAGTCACCTACTACAGGACAGGCCCAACAAAGAAAGTAACAGAACGCCACTAGCTGTCACATATAGCCCCCAACTAAAACCTCTCAAGCGCATCATCAAGGATCTACAACCTATCCTGAAGGACGATCCCTCACTCTCTCAAACCTTGGGAGACAGACCAGTCCTCGCTTACAGACAGTCCCCAAACCTGAAGCAAATACTCACCAGCAACTACACACCACACAACAAAAACACTAACCCAGGAACCAATCCCTGGAACAAACCCCGTTGCCAACTCTGTCCACATATCCAAGGAACACCATCATAGGACCTAACCACATCAGCCACACCATCAGGTGCTCATTCACCTGCACATCTACCAATGTGATATATGCCATCATGTGCCAGCAATGCCGCTCTGCCATGTACATTGGCCAAACCAGACAGTCTCTACGCAAAAGAATAATGGACACAAATCAGACATCAAAAATTGTAACATTCAAAAACCAGTAGGAGAGCACTTCAATCTTCTTGGAAACTCAATAACAGACTTAAAAGTAGCATCTCTTCAACAAAAAACTTCAAAAACAGACTTCAACGAGAAACTGCAGAACTGGAATTAATTTGCAAACTGGACACCATCAAATTAGGCCTGAATAGAGTGGGAGTGGCTGGGTCACTACAAAAAGTAAAAAGAACGAGGAGTACTTGTGGCACCTGAGAGACTAACAAATTTAAAGTAATTTTCCCTCTGTTAATATTCACTCCTTCTTGTCAACTGTTGAGAATAGGCCACTTCCACCTTGATTGAATTGGCCTCGTTAGCACTGACCCCTCCTACTTGGTACGGCAACTCCCATCTTTTCATGTGCTGCAATATATATACTGCCTACTGTATTTTTCACTCCATGCATCCGATGAAGTGGGTTTTAGCCCACGAAAGCTTATGCCCAAATAAGTTTGTTAGTCTCTAAGGTGCCACAAGGACTCCTCGTTGTTTTTGCCATGGTAGTATAACATGGTAGATCACTGGTGGGAGCTAGCATGGCATTTTCCAAATGAAAATGGGCCGAATCTTCCCTTTCATAAAACTTTAAACAAACAGGGGACTGGATAGCTCAGAGATATGATGGGTGAGAGTTTCCAATCTGTGTCATTTGACTAAACTGTGGTGGCTCAGTCTTGATGCCTGTTTGAAATTAGTTTGCTGGTCTCAGAATAAATTTCTAGCAGACGACTCTTGTTTCACAACCCACCACCGTAGCGGGCACCTTGCCTGCAATCTCAGCAGAAAGCCCCAGACTGGGATGGAACTTTCCTCCAACTTTAGTGGTCACTTCCAGCTCACTGCAGGGAAAACTTTGGCTGCTGGTATCGGTATCTTTTCTATGGGGAGATGCCAATTTCTAGTGCCCCCCATCAAGCACCTTTCAGAAAAGCTAAACTTCTCAGCAACAAGATTTGTCTTATCTCAATGATCCCTTTGATTGGAACCTTTCCCTTCATTTGTAAAAATAAAACTAAAAAATGAAATTGGTTTTTGTTCTGGTTTTGTTTTACTGAGATCAGACGAACCACGCAGCATTCTGTAGAGATTAATTTCTTCACCCCAAGGTGCTGCAAAACCTGTCCCCTTCTGAGACATTTCTCTTAGACCTGGAGCAAGTTGTGTGCAAAGATGAGTGCAGAGAGGTACACATTTATTCCCAATAACCAGCCTATTCATTTTTAACATCTGGAGTAAACCAAATCTTGCCCTGTGATGTGCAAATGCATTGGCGGGTAGAGAACTTAAGGAGTTCTCCTCCAGAGCAAAACAATAGCGCAGCAGTACAGCATTGCTGTGCAACTGTCAGGAGCACGGCCGGCTCCAGGCACCAGGCAACCAAGCACATGCTTGGGGCGGCGGCTGGTAAGGGGCAGCCAATCTTGGGGTGGCGGGGGGCAGTGCGGCGCGGCATTCCGCGGGGGTGGGGCGCTCTGGCGGTGCGGGGCACGGCGCTTGGGGGGGGTTCCGGTGGCGTGGCGCTGGGGGGGGGGTTCCGGCGGCGCGGCGCTCGGCAGGGGGGCGGCGTGGGGCGCGGCGCTCGGGGAGGTGTGGCGCGGCGCTCGGCAGGGGAGCGGCACGGGGCGCGGCGCGGGGGGGGGGGGGGGGGGGGGTTTTGGGGGGCGGGGGTTTTTTTTGCTGCTTGGGGCAGCAAAAAAGTTAGAGCCGGCCCTGGTCAGGAGAATTCAGAGGGCACAGCAGAACATTTTGGCTGGCTGGTCCCCTCTTCTTTCAAGATTATGATCTCTTGCAAGGGTTTGGACTGCACAGCATGGGAGTATATGAAGCAATAGATGTGAAAAGGATAGCCTTCTAATTAAGGCAGTGCACTAGAACTCAGGAGAGCACTCTTCAATTCCCAACTCTGCCAAAAACTTCTGGACCATCTGGGATAAATAAGAGTAGTTCTTTTAACTTGGACCTTGCCTCAGTCCCTTTCCTTGAAATTAGCAATAATGAAACTCAGATGCTCACATTGTGGTGCTGAGGGACTAAGGATGTGGAATATGTAGCTTTTGCAGGTGGGGAAAAAAAAATCTTCCCTCTTCAAAACAGAACATCAATACATTTAACTAGTGCACAATCACACTGTGGCTGAAGCCAGGTGGCTTCATAAAGCAGATCAGGGATACTGACTGCTCTTTTCTCAAATATAGATTTTAATGGAAAAACTAAAAAAGCAAGCATTGCTGGGGTTCAAAGAAGGCCACAGTACTTTCTACACACTAAAAGGCACCTGTTACAGATTAGGTTCATTTAAAGGCTTGCTCATTTTCATTTCTAAAATCTCCATCTAAATTGCATTTATTTCCTCAGGGGTCTATTGTGGTAGGTACATGCTACTTCCACTAATGGTGTTAATGGGAGCTGTGGGTGTAGCCACAGCAGAATATAGCCCTAAATCCTTTCATGTTAAAAGAGCACTTTTTTAAAATGGGGATGATTGTTGTCAGGTACCTTGAGACACTTGTGTGTAAAAAGGCTCTCTGCAGGTTTATTTTTGTATTGTATTTTCTATGTGAGGCATGAGCTAACAATTTGTCATGTGTCTTTCTAGGAGCAGCTGAAGGCTTTAGACTGGGAAATAAACACATTTGTGGATTATATGTTTGGGCCTCGAGGTAAGTGTGCTTTTCAGGACTCAAAATAATTGATCTTTTCATGTGCAGACAAAAGCTGTTTGAATCATCTTCAGATGCAATATAATAATTGAAAATAAGAAAAGCAGTTGCTTTCCTGAAGACAGTGACCAGCATGTTGAAAGCTGACTAGAAATTTTGAATGCCTCACTGCAAACACCAGGAGGCCAGGATGCATTTTCTGAAAGTGCTGAGCACCCACCTTCTGGAAAATCAAGGCTTGGAGTCTCCTGGATTGTCCTGGAGTCTCTAGGAATTAAAGATTATGTCATGTGATGAAACCTCCAGGAATACGTCCAGCCAAAACTGGCAACCCTGTCAAGCCCCTGTGAGGTGTCTCAAGTGGGGCATTCCAGAACTGTCTCCCAAAATCACCAGTCAGTTATTTAAGAAAAAAGTCTTTAGCACATAATAGTTAAGAAAGAAAGAAGAAAAGAAAACAAAAATCTGTTGAAAACTCAGGAACTCTAAATTACGGTGTCAAAAACAACCTTAATTCTAGCTCATCCTCTAGCTAATCACACACCACTTGTTGACACCCAGATATATCACATTACATCATCATCATCTGCATTTCCTTTCAAGCCCACAAATAATACCCAAAGTGTTGCACTACAAACCACTTCTCCACTTCTCACATTTGGGCCACTGACCCCAATACAAAGTTTCCTTCACTTCAGCCACCTAATACGTAGGGTAAACAGGGGTGAAAGGCCATATACGTAGGATAAGCAGGGGTGAAAGGCACCTTCCTTCCACCCCAAACACATCCTACGACCAACCTGGCCCAGAGATAACTAAATCTGGAGGAAAATAATGATTATAGAATAAACAGAAGAACATACTTCTGTTACTGGCAGCCCTCCTTAAGTATTCGCAGAATATGTAGCTGTGTTTTCATGCTCTCAGATGCTATGGTAATAAAAGCCAGATAAACACAAATCAGACACTACATATCTGAGGTTTTCCTGTCTCATTAATACTTGCATGGTATTGGTCACTCAGGTTATATCTCCTCAAAAATATGTATAATAATATGAGCTGGTAAAAATTGTTCTTACGGAACTGTTTTCCATCAGAAAATACCAACACGGCAAAATCACAACGTTTTGTGAAAATGTGTGCATTTGGTCTGAAGTTTCATGGAAATTATTGAGATGTTTGGCTTCAATAAGGTCAAAATGTTTCATTTTCACTTTGTTTTGATTTGTCATATTATTTATAATAAAAACTCAAAAAAACCATTTTGATAAAGTCAAAACAAAATAAATATTTTGTTTCATGAAAAATTCTAAGATTTTGACTTTTCATCCTGAATCAGTATGAAACCAGACTTCAAAATCTCCAAATTTTCTGCGCAAAGGAAATTCCATTTTTTGACCAACTGTAATAATAATCCCATCTTCATGTGGTTCACCTAGTTAACAAAGGGACTAATCTTGAGAGATGCAGACTGCAGTGAAAGTTAAGGGTATCCAGAACCCCCCAGAATGAGATCCAAAATATCAGCAAACCTGGTGCAGATTCAGAGGTCACTTCTTTCATACCCTTTCTGGTCTTTGGCTACTTGCTCTAGCTATCACCTGAGGAGGTCAGACTTGCTTCCTGAATCAAAATATAAAGACCTACAGCATAGTGTAATTGTAAAGTATAAATTATATTATAATACGTTTTCAGATGCCTCATGCTTGCATTTCATCGGGTTAACATTCTTCAAATCTTAACATTTCTTCCTTAAAGGGAAAATTGTTATAAGGTTCTTAAAAACTGGAAAGTAGTATTTTTTTTTTATTCTTTTGGGAATGGCAATCACCTCCATCAACTGTGAAGCATATATGATCTTTGCAAAACTTTGGCTTGCACAATTTCTGGATTTCTACCTGAATCTATTTTAAAAATGAATAGAATGGCTTCCTAGAAAATACTTGTAAAATAGGCCTTTAATACTAGCAAGCTAGTGCAGTCTAATAACCATGTGTGTGAAAGTTTTGTTCCTTTTTACATATATAAAGGCTCTGCCCTTTCATCCTTCTCTTTCCAATGCCTCCGGAGCCAAGTCTTTGAGATGGATGAATTGTGGTTAATATAACTGCACAGCAAATACTATAGCTCCACTGGGTCTTCAGAATGCACTTCAGTAAAACAAGTACTGCCTGTGCCAACTCACTCAAAGAGATTCACGGTTGGCATTTGAAAGGCAAAGTCTCACAGAAATGACTGCCAGTTGAAAGGAATTGAATATTAATAGCCCAAATCAACCAGAGAAACAAAACCTTGTGAAAACACGTGTAGCGCTCAGAGAGATGGTTCTAAAGACATTCATGCACAGACACACATCCCAAGGAACTTATTGCAGGAGAAATAAAATGGGACTTCAGTCCCTCAGCTTGGCAGGATCTAGTGTCACTCTACTTCCATGTTGGTTGCTTCAAATACTTTCCTGAGTTCACCTGTGCTCAAATGCAGGATTTCTCCTTTTCCACCATGTATTGCTGAGCTGTCTCTTTCTAGTTGGGAGCAGGACCTCAGTGGCATCTTACTCTAGCTCTTGGGGCTGATCTTGGTCCTTACTATGACCAATTTTCATCAATCTCACTGCTCTAAATTGCATCTTTGGACACAGATTGGCACCCAAAGACACCGCAATCAGGGAAGATTAAAGGTAGTTTACAGGCTTCCTCCTCCTTGGCTGTGTTGGATGCAGAAGGGCCAAAGCCAAAGATACAGCCCTTTGACTCGGACATATTACCCTGTGTCCTACAGATATGCTGTTAGCTGTTCTTTTTATAAATGTGCTGAGAGGCCTTCAGTTATGAATACTTCTAAGTTGAAACCATTATTTGCCTCTAAATCCCTTCAACACAGGTATCTCTCCCTGTTGTACTAGTTTAACCCAGCAGAGGGTAAGGTTACAAGTTATTTTGAAGCACCCTATTATTGGAGGAATGCTCCCATGTTGCTATTTTGTTCTCAGCTGACAACAGGCTTACTTTTCATCTCCTTTTCCTCCCTCCCCGCTACTGACATCTGCTGGCAAGAATAGAACTGCAGTGTGTTCCAAGAGGTGCTGCAGTGAAACAGCAGCCCAAGCGGTGCAATTTGATACTATATTTCTTAATTTACCTGTAGCATTAAACTGTGCAATCGTTAGACCAAGTAAGCCACTGGACGTAGCAGTGCTAGTACAGTTACAACTAGAAACGAGTGCAATTACAAATTGCAAATTGTGTTTTAAAATACTCTGAGGACAATACCATCAATTCCATATTGAAAATACGATCTTGTTTGTCTGTGGTCCCACGCAGTAGCATGCACTTTTACTTTAGTGGTCTGTGACTGTAGAATGACAATCCAGAGCAACATGGCACCCTGTAAAATGGTTATATAGACAGATGACTCACAAGAAGTTGCTCAAGTAGATGGACTGACTCCCGAAACAGAAGCGCTGATGAATTCTAGTGAACTTACCTAAAAAGGCTAAAATAACAAGCATTACAGACTTCTTTCTATTAGCTATTTTCCACTACTATCTGCTCTTGGTTTGACAGCAGGCTAGCCAAAATAAATGACTACTTTGTAAATCCATCTTTTTTATTTTGCTTTATTTTTAGTCAATAGCGATTTAGGTGACAACTAGGGCAGTTCCAGGGGCAGGCAAGCAGGGCAATCACCCTGAATGCCAACTTCCAGGGGGTGTTGAACTGCTGTGCCACACAGCTTTTTTCCCCCTGCTTTGCTCCCACTTGGTTGGATTTGGAGGGGTGGGATTGATGCACCAAAAGTGTTTTTTGCCCTTTATAGACCAAACATTGCTTTCTAAAAGCAATTTCCACGAGTGGTGTTGAAACTCAGTTAACACAGGCTGTGATCCTGCACTTAAAGGCAATGGAAGCTCTACCATTGATTGCAATGAGTACCATCAAGCCCCTGTGTGGCTCTATCTCCTTCTGATGGCTACATCTCACAAAGCAGTGTATATTGGCTGCAGCTTCTGAATTAACCCCCCTTTTGGCTCAAGAAGTAGAGTAATGCTTTGTTCTTATATAGCACTTTTCATCCACAGATCACAAAGCACTTTCAGAGGAGGGTTAGTATCATCACCCCCATTTTACAGAGCGGGAAACTGAGGCACAGAAAGGTGAAGTGACTTGCCCAAGGTCCTCAGAAGACCAGTAGCAGAACTGGGCATAGAACCCAAATATCTTCAGTCCCAGCCCTGTGTTCTCTATCCACTAAACTGCACAGTCATGCTTTTAGATCCACAGGTCCTTAGTTCACTCCCTGTATGCCACACTGAGGTGCTTGCCCTTATTTGCTTTAGATTTTCTTTGATGTATACCAAAACAGGAAAGGCTATCTGCTCAGGACACAGTGACCATTCAGGTGTAAGGATCAAAATGGGGCTTGCTTAATTTGATTCTTTAAACAGGATTCCACTATGCCTCTCTAGTACTGCAGGTGCATTTATTAGTTTTTATATTAAGGAGACAAGAGAAAAATAACAAAAAGAAAGGATAGTGACATAGCTATGTGATGTGGAACGACACTAGTTGCAGGAACGAGAGCCAGTGGTTGAGTTTGTTTTATTCATGTACAAAAACAAATTTAAATTGGCAACATATTGAGCGGGAATATAATTTTTGAGCGGTGTGATGAAGTCATACTAACATACCCTTATATGATATGTATTTTGCCATTAAATATTAACAGCATCAAAAACCAGCTCCAAAAATCCAGACCATCAGCCACTAAGAAATTCAGATTCTGCCCAGATACAAACAGGCCCCCGCTGTAAGTGACTGAGTTAGAACGCGGAATATCTAGCCACCTCTGAACATCCTGGTTAAAGTCTCAGTGCCATTATTTTGCCACTGCTTCAGTGGTGTCAGGATTTCACTCCATGGCTCTGGCTCATCACTATTTTTAATTGGAAAGGAGTTAGTTTGAGATAGAATCTGAGCTTGTGCACATCTCTCTCACCACATATTGTGTTCTGGTGCTCGTGTAGTGCAGTGTCACTCACTGCTTTCGTCTGGGATTTAGTTGTTGGAATGATTCAGAACTGTCAAACTAACAGCACGTCACACTTTCCCACACAACGTAAGTGGATGAATTTGAACCTGTCTGAACATAATGTAGCACTGTGAGTCTGACAGATGGTAGGCACTAATGTTAACTTCTCTCTCTTTTTCTTATTCTTTTTGTCAAATCCATACATTTCCTACCAAACCCCCCCAATGATACAGTGCTGTTTTTCTTAAAAAAAAAAAAAAAATCAAAACCAACAGCCCAGCATTTATGAGCCACCTTACTAAGAAGAAACAAGTGTGACTGTGTGCACATAAGAAGAGACAGTGGGAGAAAGGAACAAGTTTCAATTTCAAGCTTCAAGAGGGAGCACTGAAAACCAATAGTAAGACTTAAAAAGTATGTTTAAGTTGCCTGACAATGCAGCCATAGGTCACTTTGTAGTTATTAAAGTGTTAGAACATAAGCTGTGCTCCTTTAGCAACAATGGGAAAACTTGCTTGCTGTGCCTAGAGTAGAAGCTGCTTTCATCACTTATCTAATTTTCCACTTTAGCTCAGCTCATCATCTGATTTCTACCAGTTACTTTTCCTCTAGTTGCAAAGGCAGTTTCTGGTTACCTTCTCACAGTCTCCTATGGAACTCCTTTGCTCTGGAGACTGCATGCACATGTAAACTCTCTTTAGAAATCAGTCTTCCAAAGCAGGCAAGACTGATGTTATCTTCATCTATATTACATTTTCTCTTTTTTCTAAAGGTACATTCTGTCAAGCTTTGTATGGCTTGAGTTTAATTTACCTTTATTTTCTTATGCCTTATCTCTTTTGTTTGTACTCTCATCCCATGCACTGGATCATGGCCCAAGATCATCTCGATTATGTCTGGTCATCTTCCAGAATGACAGAACTTTTTCCAATGCCATCCTAATTGTTAAGGCTCTTATGCTCTTGTATAGATGGTACTGTGCCTTTGCACAATATGCTGTCTTGGAACAGACAATGCTAGTGCCAGGAGACATGCTGGATATTTATTAATTACCGTGTCTAAGAGATCATAAACACATTTTCAGATTCCAAGGAAGAAAACAGCATTCTAGCTTGCTAACACAGAGCGATCTGAACTGACAGAAGCAAGGAAACCCCAAACAAAGGATGCAGCTCCATTACTAGCTGACTGTACTTTTAGGCAGATTTATTCAGCAGCTCTCTCAATAGTGAGAATGAAGATGCTTCTTGGGAGCCAGTTGGGGGTGGAGGAAGACAGACGCAGAGTCTTCCAGCTTTAATAGATCTGGCTGACAGTCTGTGCTTTGAAGAGCTTGCAATCTAGTTTATGACAAAATTCAACTAATGAATACAAAATAATAAGAGGGAAGCAGGGAGGGAGGCAGAAGGTGATAGGAATAATAAGAACACACATTTCTATAGGCTTTCTGTTCACAAGGGGATAGTTCTAAGTCATTTAAATTTTGTGGTTAAAAATAAGGTTTTCTGATGAAAAAATACTTTTAACAGAACGTTAGAAGATACCTTTCCCCCCCCCCAAAAAAAAATCCTTTAATGTTTGATTTAAGTATCCCCCTGAAGCGTTTTCAAGCCCAGTTTTTGAAGTATTGTGCAAGAGTGAACAAGTGAAACTATAAACTCTCATGTGGTATTTTACTATCCAATTTAGCAAAATGGAAAAAGTAAACATGAATGGTGAAACAAAGTGAAACAGAGAGGGTTTTTTAAACAAATCCAAATGATTAATAATACAGCTGAGGGTCGTTTTAACATACTGTATGATTTTTTTAAACCATAACTCATGGTTCAGATAGAGAATATCTTTTGGAAAATTGGACAGACTTGAAAGAGAATAGCATATATGATGAAGCAATTTCATTTTCTCATAAAGTCTGTTGCTGAAGGGATTTTGCTATATTAAGATTGCTTTCCCTGGAAACTCAGTCTCTTCAATTGCGGATCTTGGCAGGGGGGAAATCATAATTATTTGCTCCTGGCATCCCTTTGTTCACCTGAAAAAGAATGATGCTGCAGATTTGGCATGTGAGGCTAGATCATGCTCTTCCTATTCAAACAAGTGTTCTTATTACTGTCAATGAGATTACTTGTGTGAATAAGGCAAGTAGCATTTGGCCTGAATGCTTCATTTCAGGATCAAGCAAGTGTACTACATGAGCTAATGAAGGAGCAAGCCTTTGGTTTAAACAAAAATATATATTTGATATTCAGCAAAACAAACACTGAAAAAGAAATGGCAAATGAATAGATTTAATGTGTTTGAAAGCTTTCCCCTATACAAAAGCCCTCCAGTAAGCAAATAAATAACAAACGGATAATAAAAATGAAGAAAGTTGCTACTGTCTGTGAAGTCATAGTTTTTCAAATGTGCATTTTTGCGTGTATAATACTATTAAAAATGCAGGTTATTTGTCCATTGAACAGACTACGATTTGGTATTTAATTTAATTTTAATTTTGTATTTAAATTTTAACCAAAGACCTATGTTGAAATGAATAGAGCATTTTTCAGCCCATTACATAGTATATCCTTTGGAATGTTACCTCATATCCTTTGCAATGTTATAGTAGCCATATTGGTCCCAGGATATGACAAAGACAAGGCAAGTCTTGGCACATTCCCACTTGTGCCTTTAGCAGACACTCTTCTGAATATGGGCAGCCTCCATTTAGCAGTACTGAGCAAGCCATTTTTAATTGCTCACTGCATTTGTTTCTGTTCAGATTCCAGGGTCAGAGGATGGTTCCTGTTGGATTCTTACCTACCCACATTTTTCCTTACTGTAGTATATCTACTTTCCATATGGCTGGGTACCAAGTTTATGAAGAACAGGCCTGCATTCTCTCTCAGGGGTCATCTCATTGTGTATAACCTTGGAGTTACAGTGCTTTCCTTGTACATGCTCATAGAGGTAAGTTTTCTTAAATGCAGCACCACATCCAAGAAGGCCAAGCACTAAGTCATTTTTCACCACAGAAATATTTTAGTAAAACATAACTTCCAAGGTAATCTGGGCTTTCAAATTGCAACCTCTTTCAGCCAGTTAAACAATTGATCTGTGAGACTATAGAATAATTTGACTCGTATAGCACCGTCTAGCCATGGATCTCAAGGCCATCATTAATGAGCTATGCCTCACACCTAGAGTTAGTCAATTTCTGCTAAAACAGAAAGTTTGCAAATATGCATTTGAATTTTTAGTGGCTGTTCTGTTCAACTATGTCTGTGCCTTTTTATTCACCATTTCTGAACATTCCCATGAATTATACAATGCAGTTGTACCATGTTGGTCCCAGGATATTAGACAATGTGGGTGAGGTCATATCTTTTACTGGATCAACTTCTGTTGGTGAGAGAGCTTGAAAGCTTGTCTCTCTGACCAACAGAAGTTGGTCCAATAAAGAAATATTACTTCGCCCACCTTGTCTCTCTAATATCCTGTGAATTGTTTGTTTTTTTTATTTGCATGTATATCTATGGAATGGCTATTTGTTCAAATACCCATATTTACATGTGACTGAACTGATTTATGTAGAAGAGTATGTGCTATATTCATTATTTGCTATTCACTATCATTGGTTTACACTCCTGTTTAACAGGGTTCAAGCATCCAGTAAGGGAGTGTGTAGTGACCGATCGCATGTTATGAAAAGCAAAAATTCAGCTTACTGTGAGAGTTTGGAAACCCCTAGGCTGACTGTTCGGTGACTACTTATCAGTAAAGAATACATTCTCAGAAATTATAATCTATTAATGAACAGAAAAAAGGGTTCAATTTGTCTAATGATTTAGTCAAAATGAATAATTCAACCAGCTCTGTTGTGAAGTAGCATGTTTTCTTATTTTACAAATGGGGAAAATTGAGACACAGATTAAGAGACTTGCCCAGAGTCACACAGGAAGTTTGTGGCAGAGCTAGGGCTAGAACCCAAGTAAGCCTGATCCGCAAGGACATTTTCTTACCCATTTAGGTGATGTTTTGAGAAAATACAGCCTTGCATTCTTGCATCCACGTTCACTCTGATCCCTTTTAGAAAACTACACTGGTCTAGAAAACTTCATAGTAACATAAGTATGGTTCCATTCCCAAACGTCTGTCAGTTGAACAAACTAAGATCGTGGCTATAGCACCCAATGCTGATCCTGGCTTGCTCAGACATGTGCCCATAATAGACACTACTGGGTGAGCAATGAGATAGATTTTGAGCAACTCATCCTCCCTTGCCGGTTAGAACATGTGCAACTGATGAGAAATGGCAACAGCAGAATAGTGGCCTCCTGCAGAAACACTTTGCCCTGAGCTCATCACAAAGATAGAGAATAGGAGCAGGGTCCGAAGTACCAAATGATACCAGTTCTGTTAACCACAGTTCTAAACTATCCCGCATTTAAAATGTGTTGGGTTTCCGAGTAATTAATTGTTATGGATAATTCCAGTTACTTGACCTTAGCGTTAACATACTAAAATTAATCCTCCCATGTTTCTTTGGTAAATAACCCAGCCTGATGAGACAGGCAGGCTGAATTATGTGCTTGTTTTTGGAGTGACCTCTGGAGGTGCTAGATGACATTCCAGGCCTTGTTCAGACTACCCTCGCAGCATTCCAGGCTTCCCAGTGCCGCGTAGGGCACCAGGATCGAGTCATTGACAAGAGAAAAACAAATACTGATTGTTCTCTCAGCAGAATGGCAAAACATTGCTTTGCTCAGAAGTCAAACAGGGCCTCATGAAAACTTTCAAGTTTGAAGGGAATTAATTTCTTTTGATCTTAACAAGAGGCAATTTGTCTGATCAAAACTATGGGCTCAGTTCTGGCTTGTACAGACACACAAAGGGCTACTCCCACATGAAGAGACTCATCCCATTTAGAGTGACCAGATGTCCCGATTTTATAGGGACAGTCCCGATTTTTGGGTCTTTTTCTTATATAGGCTCCTATTACCCCCCACCCCCTGTCCCGATTTTTCACATGTGCTGTCTGGTCACCCTAATCCCATTCAGAATTCACACTGGCTTCAGCAGTTTTTACGGGTGCTTGAGGAATGCAGGATCAAGCCCAAAACATAGGAGAAATGAGCACAAGCCCACTTACTGGATGGTTTGGCCACTATACAACAATTTGGCTCCTTAATAAAAGTAACACTTTGGGGGTTAACATTTAATTTGTGGTGGAGGCACACAGAACGTTATCCAAATAGTAAGGTTCAAAGAAAATGCAGCATGTTACACAGAAAAATCAGACCCCTGCTCTCCTGTGTCTGCAGGCAGGCTCAGCCCTCCACTGAGCAGGTGAATACATCAGAACGTAGCAGATGTAAGTCATACAGCTGATTTTCAATGTAACGGATCTTTGCTGTAAATTCATTGCACAGACTTCCGTTAGGTTGCCTGATCTTTCACCTTCTGAAGATTGTTTTGCTGTACACAATACTAATTTGTCAATGCCCCTCCAATTATTCATCCAGGCCTCACTTCTGCAACCCATAGCTCATCAGCTTCTGTGTCCAGTTCACACACACGATTTCTGTTGTTCATTAATTACAGTGACAGAGCTCACCGCTCCATGTTCTACATCTGTTATGGATCCATTTGTGGACACCCCTTAAATCATTTCCCTTACCTTCTAACCAACCCTGGTCCCAACGCCTCTCAGAACTCCACCTGGCCACCTCTGAGTTGTGTCACTGGCATAGGGTCCTTAACAAATACTATGCTAGAAGCAGCTCCACTGCACCCCTTCCCCACCTGTCCATTCTCCCTACTCCAGGTGGAGAGGGCACAGAGATGCAGGGCTCAACCGCAACAGAGGCAGCTTCCCTCCAACAGGAGAATTCTGTGCTGGGCCTTTGCAGCTGGATTATGGCTCCGAAGTGCTTGCCGAGTAGTGCACGAGGCTCATAACCCAGCTTGAATATCTGGCTCATGGTCCGAATTTCATCAGTTCACTAACAATTGGCTTATTTTTTTCTTCCCAAAAGATTTCAATTTTTAAATAAAAATCCAAATGCTGATGGAAAGATTTTTTTTCAGGGGCAGTGGTGGTGGTGCAAAATGCAAAACCTCTGCCCAACTTTAACCAGAATCCTAAATTGTACCCAGAAATGAATAGACAGCCAGAGCAATCTGGGGAGCACTGCAGTAATGTGCTATCTCTGGAAAAATCCCATCAAACAGTCAGGTCTCCGGGCGTTGCACTAGACATAGATAACGCCAGCAAAATTCACATCAGAAAGAAACTGTTACAACTCTCATGCTACGTAAAGACAGTAACAAGAGACACTTTTGACTACAGACAACATTTGGGACTTCACTAGCCCTGGAAGCTCAAAAAGTATCCTGAACTGTGACTAACAATTGGAAACTAGATTCCCTTAATAATGGGAGCAGCCATGAAATCTACCAAGTTCTTGAGTTGTTTCCCGCAGTAGTCAGTGCCATCTCTGTCCTGTTTAGATTAAACCTCACCCAGCGTGCTCTTATCCATGTCCTACCTTGTTCAGGCACTGAGAAAACAGAGACACTGCACCACCTGGGTCAAATCAAGAAGAGGTGTAGAGTAGAGAGGTGTGTCATCAGCATATGGCTGGCATTGCATCTCAGGCTGCCTATCTACCCTGTAGCTTCATACACTTATTAGTTCATATGCACCAGTGAGGCATGTGAATTTTAAGTGAGGGGAGGTAATAGACTAGAGCACCATGCATCAGAACCCTGTCCTCAGAGTAACAGTTAACATAGTCCCTTGGGATCTATCTGAGAGGAAAGAACAAAACCACACCTGAGCAAGTCTATCACGTCTTGCCAATTTTCACAATCAAGTCAAGATAAAAGGTTGCCAGTATAGCTAAAAGCAGCACTATGAGCACCCTCTCTAGAAGGAGGTCAACCACCAGCAAGTTCAGTATTACAGACAAGCTTGAACCCAGATTGACAGGTATCAAGACAATCTGAGGATTCCCAATAGCACCAGGAGTTGCCTCCCAACCACTTTTTCAATTACTTTACCCAATAGGGGCAGAGCAGAGACAGAACAATTATGATATTGCAGTCAAGTCATAAGCCTTATTGGTTGGATTGTGTTTGTCTTTGCAAGCAAACTTTGGAATTACAATGGCACCTCACAAATTGGCACTAATGAGCAGAAAACCCATTAAAATATTTGAATTTGGCACAATAGTGAACAAGATAAATAAAAACAAAAAAGGGACACTGCATCACAAAATATATTTTGTTCATTTATTTTGGTAGCTGAAATTTTAATTATTTGCTTCATAACATGCTGTAGTAAATTTTGCAAAGATAAAGAGGCTTCTACTCCACCTATCCTGTTAAATCCTTGCTGAGAAGCAGGGGGAGACAGCAATTTTAATACAGCAAGTTAAGAAGAAGGCAAATCTGTGAGGTTTTAGTGTATAAAAGACCCCATGCAGGCTCTCCTGGCACTTTAGTGAAAGCACAGTGCTAGAGATCAGAATTCAGATCTCCGTGGAAGTGCACTGAGCCTGAAATAAGTGTTACCTTTTATTAGTACTGAGAGGCCATCCCTTCCCCACAGCAGGTGATCAAAGCAGCCTTCATTGACTCTAGAGTGGGCTGAGGAAAGGGAAATGGAGGTCCCATTGTCACAAAAAGGAAAATTCCGGTATGCATTACATGACTGCAATTATTTGTGTGAGGACCCAATCTTGCAAGCTGCTGAGCCCTACTGACTGAAGTGGGAGTTGATAGTACTTGGAACTTTATAGGATCAGGGCCTTATGGAAGAGTCCTATATAATTTAATAGGGATAAAATCAATGGGTCTGTACAAAAGTTACTGACTGTCCTGTAGAATTTAGTGGAGGATGATATCCATCTAATAGGGGTCTGATTGTCAGAAGTGCTGAGCAGCTACAGCTGCTATTGACTTTA